CTCTCTCTCTCTCTTGCCCACTTGTGTGGGCTGACTTTAAGTCCCAGTTTCTGTCCAAAGAAACCCGAGAAGCCAGAGCCGTTTTCCTGTTAACAGGGTTAGTTTTAGTCCCCGTTGGCTGTCTCAGTAGAGGCTTCAGGAGCTGGAGCTTCAGAGGAGGAACGGGGCCGTTAGTTCATTCCCCGGACTCATTCTCTGTCCCCCCCCAGCCTTCATCGGCCCCCCCAGCGTGTCCCTGCTGCCCGTCGGGCCGGCGTTGGAGGTCATCATCCAGGACCCGGTCTTCTCCATCTCCACCCTGAGGAACGTCTACAGCTCTGCCTTCTACAACCTCACCTACTGGAAGCAGGAGCAGCCGGAGCAGGTGGGTCCAGCAGCCCCGGGGCTCAGCTCTGTGGGCCAGGACGTTTTTACATAAAATACATGCTAAATAAACAGGGAATCAACAAAGAAATAAGGAAAGAAACACATTTTAGTTTGAAATTTGGAACCCTGCTGCATGTTGGGGCTCTCAGAGATGAACAGCTCACGGCTGGATGTCAGATCTGAATGAGTCCAGCTGGGAGGAGGTCTCAGGTACCACCTCCCAGCATCCCTGAACAATCTTGGATGAGGCCCAGGATGAGGGCCAGGATCAGGATGAGGTCCTGCATGAGGTCCTGGATTAGGTTTAGGATCAGGATGAGGTCCTGGATTAGGTTTAGGATCAGAATGAGGTCCTGGATCAGGCCCATGATCAGTATGAGGTCCTGCATGAGGTCCCGGATCAGGATGATGTCCTGCATGAGGTCGTTGATGAAGTCATGGATGAGGCCCTGGATCCGGATGAGGCCCAGGATCAGGCCCGGTATGAGGTCCTGAATGAGGTCCTGGGGCCTTCTGGTCCGGCCGCAGGGGGGGGAACCAGCAGGTCTAAAACCCCTTCATCTCTGGCAGGTCATGAACCTCAGCGGTGTTCAGCAGAACCGGCTCTCCCTTCCAGACCTGGACCCTCTGAGCACGTACTGTGTCCAAGTCCAGATAAACACCATCAGGAACCTGAACCCCAGCAGGCCCAGCACCATCACCTGTGAGAGCACCAGCAGAGGTAAGCTCACACCTCCCCCTTTTGGGGCTTGTAAAGCAGTTTTGGGGG